GCCTACTCTTGTGCCTCTGCCACTAATGATCTGATTCTTCTTTGCTGCTGGGGAGGATTTCTCCCAAACCAAAATCCTGTCTTATCAGTAAAGAAAGAAATCTCAGGGGGACATGGTGTTAGAAATAGGCACTCCCTTAAACGTGGCTTGGTAGGAAGGGAAATACCATGGCAACATACGTAACTGCTGTGCTGAGTAAGAGTCCTCTGCCTAAACAGGCACTTCAGCAGTGTTTCTTTTCCATTATTTGAAAGACCCATGAAGACATGAACGGGGATGATGAAATGCCATGCTTTGATATGCTGCGTTGGCTTCTACGGGTGTATGTATCATGTATGTGATGAATGTTTTTGTGGTGGCAGAAAGGACTGACATCCTCAGAATGTTTCTTATCTTCCTTCTTTCTCCCTCTTTAAGCTTGCACATGCTCAGTGTTGTTACAACCCCGTGTGCTTTTGAAAACTCAGCTTGAAGCACTGTAATCATTCTGTAATCATTAGTTGTCACAGCGATCGAAAGGGGCATTTGGTGGCTCTGGCAGTGCTGGCAGTAAGTGAACACATACACTAAATGAGCTGAGTAATGCTGATGGGTGTTAGCTCTAGGGCTGATAGACCAGCCTGCTTGCTAAATACTGTTGGGTTTTGTTCCCTAACTTCACCTGGTGAGTAATCTGTTCTAGCACAAGTGATTGTGAGCAGCAGAGAGCTCAGGGCAGCGGGGCCTCTTTGTGAAACCCTGTCTCTGCTTGCAGCGTTGGCCAAAGACAACTTGTCTGCCTGGCACGAGCGCTGCTCCGCAAGACGAGGATCTTGATCCTAGACGAAGCGACAGCAGCCATCGATCTCGAGACGGATGACCTGATCCAGATGACAATTCGGACCCAGTTTGAAGACTGCACGGTGCTGACAATAGCGCACAGGCTGAACACGATCATGGATTACACAAGGTAAAAATCTCTTCATGGTGCGTGGCGGGAGGCTCACCCGTTCACGGGGTACACGAAGCAACACTTGAAGGGGTCCGACACAAGGTAAAAATCTCTTCATGGTGCGTGGTGGGAGGCTCACCCGTTCACTGGGTACACGAAGCAACACTTGAAGGGGTCCAGTTTGTCCCTAGATAGTCAAACTGATGGTCCTGTCAGGGGTACGTAAGCAACAATGTTTAAGCCATATAATCCTAGAATATCCAGACCTGACTTTGCCTCTGTTGGCATAATAAATAGGTTCTATATTCACTAACCAGAGCTGCACAAGACTTACTACCCAGATGCATTAATAGCACTGTCAGCAAGCTTATGGATCCTTTTTACACTACCAGCTGCTGTAACTTTTTCACCACGTCAATGTCCTATTAATTACTTTAAAACATATTACTATACTTCACAAGCTTTTACATCCTTGGCTTTCTGGTACTATGTTTTCAATTCCATAACTACCAGCATGATACTTCCCCCTTTTATTGGCCCTGGGAGATAGTGACTGTCCTGTGCCTTTTTAAATCAACCAGCAGCTCAGGTAGAACATTCATCATCCATTGTGTGAAAAGAACTGAGCAAAACAAAGCCAAGGCAATGATCAGGGCAGTCTGCTTTGTGACAAAAAGGGATGCCACGTCTTGCAAGGAATTCTCTGACCTATCTTTCCCCCATCACCATCTTTTGTTTGGCACAGGGTTCTTGTTCTAGACAACGGAACAGTAGCTGAGTTCGATACACCTGCAAACCTTATAGCATCAAAGGGTATTTTCTACAGTATGGCCAAAGATGCTGGACTGGCATGAAAAGAAGACCCTCTGGGGTTTTGGTTTGTTGTATTTGTTTTGGGTTTTCTAATATTACTGACTTGGCACAGGAGTGACTTGTGAATGTACTGTAATTTACAAACAGCTTTTGTAGTGGGCTGAACTTGTGATATGTGAACAAAATATTTTACAATTATAAGGACCAGAAAGTGAATTTTATATTTTTTAATATTTTCTATAAAGTATTTTATTATATGCTTTTTCTTTCTCAAAGAATGACAAACATTCTGCCAAGAAAATGTATGTGTCACAGGGCAATATGTGCTGTATTCGGGTTTATAATTAGTAAATTATATTAATGGTACCAAAAAATACACCTGTTCTGTGTGTTTTCTGCACAAGGATTCATTGGTTTTGAAGTGGAAACAAGCCCTGTGGAGCTATGACTCAGCTGAAAAACAGTGACATAATGTTTAGTCTCTGTGTGGTTCCAACCTTCTTTTCAGTATTTCCCCCAGGACAAGGGAGTCATTTGTTGCAGCTTTAAGGCTGTGAGCTGTTCCAGGACCTTTGGTATCCCTGCCCAGGGCAACCTCAGCATTACAGAATTCCTCTTCAGCATAAGAATTACAAGTAACGTGTATTTAAAACTAAACCTGCAGATGGTTTAATATAAATCATTAACTACACGATTTCTACCAGTGTGGCAGACTCCACATAAGCCTACAGGGATATGATTGGCACAGAAGTATTATAAATTTGCTGTATCTTTCTTACACATGGAGTCATTATGAGTAAGTCTCCACTTAAGCGGAGCAGATGTGTATATAATTTATCTCATTCAACACTTAATCACCTGAAATAATATGTGATTTGTTTTGCAGAATTAAATATCTACGTTATTGATAATGAAGCCTCCTCAGATAAAAGGAGTTTAAACAACATTTGCTGCTAGAATCAGAATGTCTTCTGCTTTAGTTACTTGCTCCCTACACCAAGCACTCTAGAAACCTACCCAGCAAGAAAAAGTTCCAATGTTTCCCCATAAGTGAAGTTCAGAAAAACTTTGAGAAGACAAAAATAATCATTTATTAATTCTTACAAATGGGACTTCTTAAATAGAAACAAGAATCTCCAGCCAAGTGTTCATTTGCCATTCACAGTTCATAGAGCACAAAGTAATGAAATATTTACCATACACAGTAATGTAATGATTATACACTGATCACATTGTTAGGAGTGTTAATAGTATGTTCTGTGTATAAACTGCATAAGGTATAAAAATATTCCTTGGAATGCATAGATACCGATCCACAGCTGCAGGATTATCAGTGTGACAAGGAAGCTGAGCTTCCTAATAGTAGGTCTGACCAGTTAATCCTGGTACCTCCAGGGGTTTAGCTGGCATTCACAGCAGATGCCTAAACCGTGGCTGTTCTGTGTGCCAGGAAGAATGCAACAGTGCGATACAGGGAACAATGACTTTATTATTCCAGAAGTCAGAATACCACCAGCAATGTGTTATAAAACCCAGCTATTGCAATGACTCGGAGCACATTTGACCCCCAGCAGTTTTCAGAAGAGGCGATTTTGTTGTGACAAAATGTTCTACTATTACCCTTAGGAGACTGAGCTGCGGTCTAGCTAACTGGTACACAGGAGTGTTTGCAGGGATCTGTACTTCCAGGGGAACACTGGACGTCCGACTACAGGGCAGACTGGGAGAGGGCTCCCTCTGGTGTGCTCATCTGCTGCTGAAGCTGCTTCCCTTTGCACAAAGTACTAGTCACTGGGTGAGAAAGAGAGAGCACGGGTCAATTTGGTTCCTCTTGTGTTAGCTGTTAATACATGTGTTTGCTCTGACTGCAGGGGAAAAACCGACTTTACCTGCCACAGCCTCCGAGAAAGGGGACAAGGCTGTGGGGGATACCTCACTCCAGTCAGAGGCCATCATCTGGAGCCACAGGGGTTCCACATGCAGCTCTCACCTGAGTGGTTCCTCCCTGCTCAGCATGCTGCTTCTATAAATCCCATTTACAGGGCCACAGACATTGTACAGCCAACTTGGGCTGTGAATTCTTAGACAAGACAATGATAACATCCTTTGGTTGCTCTAGTTTCCAAAGAAACTGGGGGTGAGGGAGGGGAAAGACAAAGACACACAGGGAAGTTCAGTCCAGTTTTGTATATTCTGTTTGCCTGTTTGATCTTGAACTTTAGGTTGTTCATCTAACTCTTAGTACATACTTTTACAGTTAGGCTACCAGAACAGAACTCTTTCTCAAATGCAAATGACTGAGTAAGTAATAAAACCCTAGAGAATAAGATAAAATCCAGCTCTTAAATACTTTTCAATTTATTTATTACAGAATTTCATAGCAAAGTAGTCTAATTCTGTATTCTAAGTACCAGGAACAGGAAAAGTGATTATTTTTCAGTAAACAACATGGGTAAACACAAGTCACTGGTGGGGAAAAAGAAAGTACATTGCATAGGAACATCAAGATTTAGTATCAGCCCAGAAAACCCTGGGCATAGTTTCTTTTTACACAGGCAACTTTAAATGATCAAGATGTGACCTTTCCCAGGAATACAGAGGTAAAAGGAAAATGCAGTTACAATTTTTGTGCTTTCAGAAGGGGAAATTAAAGCAGTGTTGGAGAAATGTGATGTCAATACAGTAACAAAAATAGTATTTTAAATTGCACATGTCAGTACTATTTACTGACAGACAGTAAAAGGGATTTTGGTTGAGAGCATATTTATGATTTGGATAATTGCTATCACTTTTTATTTTCAACCTGAGAAATAGGGAAAAGTGTAAACAGGGATTAAGAAATCACTTGTAAGTGATTACTTGTAAAGTAATAAGTCACTTGATAGTATTTAAAGTAGACATCATTTTGTGCTTCTTCCACAGATTCAAACACTTCTGCTTTTTTACTTCTAAGATATGATTTAAAATGCATGATGCAAAATGTGAATGTTAATGGTAATGGACTCAGTAAAAATATTAAATGGGTTTCATGGCAGGTTCTTTAGCTTGAGTACCTCTGCTATTTTATAGCAAACAAATTATTAGAACAGCTTAAGGTAAGCCTTTCCCTGAGAGCTGCTAACTCTGCAGTATTTCAAGATTATCTTTTTGTAAGGAAAAGTGTTGCATTAACAGATAGTTCTACCAATACTTCCTTTGCATTAAGCTGCTTTTACATCAGACTCATTACTCTTGGATTAACTGGAAGCTGTAACTGTGCATAACAACTTACTTCATGGTTAACAAAATAGATCTTTTTACATGATTAGCCCTTATAGTGACTGTATTTCAAACGTAATTTTAAAATGAGAGCTACAAATCTTCTGTTTTATTCTTTAAACAATTAATATGTAAGTTCTGATGCCTTCTTGTTATAACCACTCCGTTCAGAAAGTGTTGGGACTCTGAAAAGTAAGTTTTTGTCGCTTACTGTTAGAACAAGCTCCAGTTCTTGGAAATCCTGTAGCCTTGCCACATCTTTGTCCTTTAAATAGATACAGTCAGTCGTTAGGTGATATACTGTTCAATTTTGCAGAGGTAAGTTAAAATAATAGGCTCATACTAACACAAGGTATGTATTTATCCATAAATATCACAATTCTTTACAGTAAGCTGGAAAGCAGGCATCCTGTTGCATCTGGTATTTGTTCTGGGGTCCTATTCACTTCGGTCTATTCTTAGAAGGAATGCAATACTGATGGTGAGTGCAAGTGATTAGTGGAATTAAGCTTGTAAAGGTCCACTGCATCCACCCCCAACTCCTCTTTTCCCCCTCCCACCTTAGTAATTCTTAGAAGCTCATGAATTGATCCTTGCATCTACCCAGGAAGTTCCTGCATGCAGCATCCTCTAGAGCAGCTCACCAGCATGAAGGTAGAGCTGGCTTGGCAAGGGTCTCCAATGGACGAGCAAGGGAAGACACCCTCCCACAACACAGGCTTGAGCTCTGATCCCTACTGCAGCAGAACTCTGCTGCTAAACAGCATTAAATAGAATTAGTTCTGTATCACCTCAAGGAACAATAAGTGTCCTGCTGTCCAGAGAGCCTGAGTAATTAGAGGTGGAAGTAAAAACAGTCCTTTCAACACAACTGAAGTTGGCAAGTGACAGAATTGCTTATGTCTGTCTTTTTTTACTTTTCTTTCACTTCTTGACTAACAAAGAATAAGTGATCATACAGCCAGTGTGGATGCAGTGCAGTGAAGTCTATTAGTTTAGGACTAATCAAATTAGCACCACAACTGACGCCAGCAATGCTCTAGAGGGATTTGAGAGTGACAGAAGGGTCAACAGTGAATCAGTACAACAGGTCAGCAAGTCCATGTCCTGTTTGCTGCACAGGTGCCTGTCACTGGAGTGAAGAGACAGTTACATTCAGAGACCTGCATCCAGAATCATTCTGAAACTCCTTTCTGGTTTTTGAAGGGACTGCATATAGTCCTTACTGACCCAGCAAAACTCAGTCAGGACTTGCAGGCCTTTCAAATGCTGATGGCAGCTCACAGTGGTGTGGTGTTGTACTGAAGTGAAGAACATAGTTGAGAAATCAGGTATTAATTGGCTCAACACCAAGAAACTCGAGAACTTCTTTACTAAAACCAAATCAAACAACTGCTGTGTGCTGATAGTTGAAAGAAAGTTTTTCTTTTTGGGTTTTTTTTCAACAGGGGCCTCTGCAAGTGACCAACACATTATTCCTTTTAATCTAAAAATGCTTTTTATAAGTTAGTGCACTTCTAAGTTTACAGTTCTTACCTTTCTTAACATTGTATTTGGTAATTTTCTGATCTTCTGTACATGCTCAGGGTTAACACCCAGCTCACGGCAACTCACTCGGAGCAATTCCTTATAGGTCAGTTCTTGCCTGTCCAGCTCAATTTCAATGAAGTCATTTTCTCTGAGATTAGGGTTTTGTATTCTAACTTTAAGCACCAGTTCTATTAGAAATAAAAAGGTACATTAATAGGTAGATGCATAAATGAATTGGAAAAGATATCTCTATAGTAACTTCCAAATATTTCTATGTTCTATTAACCTTGTTTGTATAATTTCTAACGATACAAGAGTCCTCAAAAAGCAAGTAACTGGACTTGAATGACAAGTTTTCATTAGCTTGACTTTCATGAACCTATATGGAAAGATCATTACAAATCTAATACAGTGCGTGTGAATGCAAGTATGAACCTTCGCATGGACACATATCTTACTGGATTTAAACTAACTTAAAAGCAGATTGTACTGGTTATCAACTTCCTGAGCAATCCAACATCACTTCTATCAGGTTTTGATCCTTCTGGTCATCAGTTAACTTCTCATTGCTAATTCATGCCATCAGAACACCTTTTATTTCAAGAATGAACTTCTGAACCGAAACTGAAATTGAGCTTTCCCTCTTCGGGCAGGCAAAATTCACCTGCAGAAATGGCAGGTCAGGTAATTGTTCACCTCCAGGCTCAGGTCTGCAGACTGAGCCATGGCAAGTCCTCTCTTGAGCTCAGTGGCTGTATACTAATTTTCCTTATTTGCAGCTTGGAGTATGCTATTTAGAGAATTAATTACACTGGTGTCTGCATGCTTTTAGAGCATGAGACAAACAGCAAATGTTTTCATCAATATTTTAATAACAGTTGCAGCAGAAACAGGATATCTGCCTCTTTAATGCCCTTCAACCATTTCCTGAATGCCTAAGCATGGGAACCTGAAAATGCTACGAATACATACAACCTGGAGTTGTCTATATTCGTTGTCCAATGTGACATAATTCCTAAGACAAAGTGAGAAGAGGTTTTTTACTGTTACCTTGCATATTAAGTGGGAAAGCTCCAGTGAAGAAAACAGGCTGAAACGCTGGCACGCTGGCTCCCATACAGGAGCCATTCTCTTGCTGAGGCACAGACTGATTTGATCCAGCAGGCGAAGGGGCACTTCTGCTCCAAGACACAGATCCCTGGTAAACTGGAGCTCTCTGAAGTACAGGTTTTGTGTGTGGAGGTACAGTACCCCCGCGGGGCAGTGATGGTGTGCCTGCAGTATGAGCCACCTCAGGAGCAGCATTCCCATGGTGTAGCGGTGCACGCGCGTAAGTCTCCACATCAGGTAAGGAAGCAGAGTCGGTATCTCGTGGTTCTAAGTGTGAGATACTCCCATTCATGGAGGGATCTGGAATACTGTTATTCATGGTGTTATAAACGTAAGGGAAAGGTGGGTTAGCCAAATAATTAGGGATGATTGGCAGATCTGACTCTTTCTTGAAGTCTGGCAGTTCATCATCTTCCACTGTAAAACAAACAAAACAACATTCTCCAAGACTGATTTGAGGGGAAGAGAGAAGTATTGGTATTGCACTGAGGGGATTCTTTTTCTTATTTTATGGGAAGGGACTGGAATGTTAAAAGCAACGCAGGTTAAAAGATGACCCAAGAAGCAATAAGCCTTTTTTTTCCCCTACAGTAAACAGAACTGTGCTCAGGTGTTGTGATACAGTAAACACCAAAGCAGAGTCTGATGCTAGTAATTCCAGGGGTGCTATTTCCTTCTAAACACTGCAATACTTCTGTTTTGGTTTGATTGGTTTTAATCCATAGCCAGCATGTTGTAACATAGTCTCTGGTGGTATAATGCTATCATCTTCATTATGTATAAGGCAACGAAAACCAAAAGGGTAATACTGTTGTTCGATATTAAGGCAAGGGATAAAGGGAAAAGAACACATAGTACTGGGAGAGCTGAAACATTACCAATTCAACAGTTGGGAGACAATAATGAAAACAAAAGCAGACAAGGGAATACAAAGGGGAAGAAAGAGGCTGCTAATCGACCACATTTCAATTTACTTATCGCTTCTAGCAGCAAAGCCTACTCCGCTCCAGCAGTTACAAAACCATGGTAAAAATGCTCTACCAATGTCCTTTAATGAGCTGTTATCTGGGCTGCTAGTTTTCCACTTACTCAACACAGTGCCTAAGCTCCACAGAACATTGGAAAAATGAGGTGTTGCTCTGGAACCCCAACATAAGAAGGATGTGGAGCTGTTAGAGCAAGCCCAGAGGAGGCCATGGAGATGCTGTGAGGGCTGGAGCAGCTCTGTTCTGGAGACAGGCTGAGAGAGCTGGGCTGGGTCAGCCTGCGGAAGAGAAGGCTCCAGGGAGACCTTATAGCAGCCTCCAATGGCTAAAGGAGCTACAAGAAACATGGAGGGGGCTTTTTACAGGGGCCTGTAGGGACAGGACAAAGGGGAATAGCTTTAATTGTTAGAAGGGAGATTTAGATTAGACATTAGAAAGTTCTTCCCTGTGAGGGTGCTGAGGCGCTGGCACAGGGTGCCCAGAGAAGCTGTGGCTGCCCCATCCCTGGCAGTGTTCAAGGCCAGGTTGGACACAGGGGCTTGGAGCAACCTGCTCTAGTGGAAGGTGTCCCTGCCCATGGCAGGGGTTTGGAGCTGGATGAGCTTTAAGGTCTTTTCCAACACAAACCAGTCTGGGATTCTGCAATATATGAGCTTCATAAGAGTTTCATAAATTTTTCTTCTGTTGCCCTTTTGAAAATAGGAAGCTGCCACTGGATCTGGCTCTCACGGGTTTAATCATGCCGTTGTTCAAAATACAGTTTTTGTAACTGTTCAGTGTTTAGGAAAAAGGTTTGGCTGGCTGCATATGGAACTTGTTGGTAATTCTCTGTTCTTAAACTTTGATTTCTTACCAATTAAACACTCTAGAAATCAAGTCAGAGTCACCACTAAGATCCGAACACAGTATCTTCACATGCAAAATAAAGATGGGAACATAACATGCTTTAGACAGCTTTTTGCTACAGTCTTGTATCGGTTTACCTCCCAGCATCTTCCTTATCTCTCTCTTTGATGTTAACTGGGCTGGCCTTTCTCCTTTCTTTGTGAGGATCTCCTTGTCAGCACCAGCGTGCAGCAGGTAAGCCACCACCGGAGCGTGGTTCCGTTTACATGCCCAGTGCAAACAAGTCCTGCACATGGAAAATGTTAACACTGTTTGAAATCCTGAATTATGGTAGATATTAACTTCCACTCATTCTTGCTGCCTGGGAGAAGAACAAGACCCAGCGAATGTCTAACATAAAGGCTTTAATTGCAACCTTCCTTGGAAAGCTAGACTGGTTTTGGAGCCTGCAGTGACACCTGCTGATGTAGTTTCTCCTTGCTCTAACACTGGATACCAAGTTACCAGAGTTATCTTTTCAATTTGTCATTTATTAAGGTATTAACTTTACTGGCAATACAAATATAAAAAGAAGGCTTGTGTATGCTATTTTAATCTTGGAAAGAATAAGCTGTACTGAAAATACTTGTGAGTGTGTGTATATGTGAGACTTCCGTAGGATGCTATTTTTACTCTTTAATTAATGCTGTCAGCCCAATGACTTGCACTTTTTGGAAAGTAGATGATGTTCAGAATACTGTAAGCAGGGTTTCTTAGCACAGTTCTTTGCCCAGTTGCTATTCACTGCATCAGCAACTCTGAAGCTTTGACCTGCAGACAACCAGTTTTCTGCAATCTGTAAATTATGCACAGAACAAACCACTTGTCTGGTTTTTCAAACTGCTCTTTGCAGTTGCTGACCTAGAGAGGAAAGAAACATCCTAAAACCTACTGAGCTCATTTAGTATTAGGTACTTACGCACTGTAACTCATTATACGTTCTTAACCACTCTTCCCTAACCTGGGTTCTAGTGACATTTGATCTTTCCCCAGCTTTTACATTTTAATTCTCTAGCTCCAGCTGCAGGAAACATCAGAAAGATGAACGCACTGAACCCTTCTCCAAGTTTATTTAGTGCTTAAGAAATAAATAAAGCAGAGATAAATAATAAACTTTTAAGGGGAAAAAGTTTCAGTTGAAAGTTCAGCTCCAAATGACCTTTTTCCACTTCAGTTTTTGGTTGGTTGTTTGATTTGAGTTGTTTTTAAGAAAAGAGACTGAAAAGTTTTATCTTGACCAATAAGTTCCAACTTTGTAATGAAAATTTGGCTCTTTTAAGTTTTCTTGGGTGGAAGTATGTAAGGAAAAAAAAGAGAATCTGATCTGTGGAGGGATACAGATCAGATAAACCCAAGAGAAGAGAAGGTACTTTGCAAAACCTTGTTCACTGTTGTACATTCTGACTAACTTAAACCTCAATTTTACTATTTCTTCTCACTAAAACAAATGCATCTTGATGGCAGAAAGTATCCCTGAATTAAAGGTCACCAGTCACTGCAGCAAGAGGTTACGTAGAATTAGATCTAACTGAAGAAACAGGAATGCAAGTGTATGTATACATATTATTTTCCTTCATAGACTATCCTAGGAAGGATGCTACAAGATCTGTGTTTCCAAGATGATACTGAAGCAATACTGTAAAGTCCTGTATTCTCCCTCCAAGACTGGACTGTCCATTTCAGACCAGGTTTGTTTAGTTTTCCTGTGCAGTGTTTGCTGGACTTTTCACACATTTCTCCTTGTGAAATGAGTGTGAATAGCCCACATCAATTCAGAAGCAGCACACTGCCAAGTCATAAACTGTTTTGGACCAAAGTGGAGGGAAAAGGCACAGACAGTATGGTCATGTTTGATTTGAGTGCAAAATTTGCTGGTTTGCTTTGGTGACAAGGAACATGCAGGAGCATTGGCCTTATCTTGGGATCCATCCTGACTGTTCCACGTGGTCTCACATAAAGAGAGACCTTACATGCATCAAAATGTAAGTACTCAGCAACTCTCAGCGTCAGACGTACTAAGAGTCTCCCTGGAGAAATGTTACCTCTACAAGCAAACTTAAATCACAGTGAAGATCCATTTATTGCCATAGTTACAAATGACCAGATCATCTTAAAAATAACTGTATTTTATGACAGATTCCTTTCATTGATTTGAGTTTTAAATACAAACTCATTTTGATGACAGGTACCTGTTTATCTCACACACTAAGATAATTCAGTATCTTATGAATCAGTTATCTTAAGTTTTTATCAGTTCTAATTTTAATTACAAGTTGAACCCCAAGTTGCAAGTGTCCCACACTTCTTAAAACTACTGATTTAACTTTCACCTTTAAAAGCCTAGCTCCTTTCCTACTTTCAGCTTTCTTACTTTCAGTTAAAACCTCAAGCCCAATACAGCACAGCAAATATAGCTGAGTTGAACTTAAGGAACACAGACTGCTGAAATGCCTGACCATTCCCTGTAAATCCCGCTTCAAGTAACACTCTGTGTGTGTGTGTGTGTGTGTGTGTGTTCATGGATAGAGTCCCACTTGTACAAGTGCCTATTACAGAAAAGTCCTGGGTTTAGTGTCTGAATAAGATGTCAAAACCGAAGCGTTTATATGTAACACTGAAACATCCTGCACGTTCCCTGCTTTAAAAAACAAGTCGTTCCCAAACCTGAGTTAGTTTATAAAGGTATTTCTGGTTAGATGCGAACACGGTTGAGATTTGGCTGCCCGTGCCCTTCCAGAAAGATAAAAGCAATATAAAGTAACCCCACGGTGACCTGAGGGAGCAGCGAACACCCAGGAGCGGGAAGGGGACGGGTGCCAGCGGTTCTATATTCACGCCAAGGGGTGAAGGCAGCGCAGCGCCGGGCGGC